ACCCACTACCTGTTGGGTAGTGCTATAGATAACATGTCCCCAGACAAAGGAATGAAAGGAAGAAAGAAAAAAATGATATCCAACCTGGCCAACCATTATCACAGATCTGCTGCTGCTTAGAATGAAGGCTTCCTAGAACTAGACCAGATGTAACTTGTTTTTCCTTTTTAACCAGTTTGCCATTGCATCCTTAAATCATTCCTTCATGTAGAAGACAGACTATAATACAGTGGGTTTAGTCTATCGGCAGAGAGTAATACTGCTTAATAATAGTTGAATACTAGAATTTGCAAAACAGACTATATGAATTTTTAATTTAAAATGAGCATGCAACATCTTTTCAGCTCTTTCCTTGCTGTTACCAAAGATTAGTTTAGTCACGTTTTTGTATACTTCAGTATCCAAAACATGACCAAAATCCTGGTCTGGGAGTTTTGGATCCTTGCTGTGCTGCTAGCTGTGGTAATGCTAGCTAAGTGTTCACCAAGCACAATCATTATGTTCTGAATTTCCCTAAAACTGGACTGGTAGTTTTTATCATGAAGGCACAGCACTAATACTTAGCTGTCAGATCAAATAAAAGTCATTCTAATTATGTTGAGCAGAAATACAGATGCTGTGGAAATTCCCAGGAGGTCTTTATAATAGGTGTGCTCTGTCACTTACAAAAACATTCAGAAGAGTTAAATACTATTATTGACATGCTTTTTAAGATACAAGACCACAATTACCTTTAAATTCTACAAAAAGATCTGACTCTTCCATTTCCCCACCCATCCACTTCAGTCTTCCCTTTATACAATTTTATCCACTTACAATAAACAACTTTTATGCCAAATAATTCAGAAAAGTGCTTTATTACCCTGCTCTCCAGGATTCAGGTCATCTCTGGCTCTTTCTGAGCTCCATTAGGGAGACCAAGGATACAGAAAAGTGGGAATACCAGAATGTCTTTTCTTTCCACAGAGCAGCAGAATCCTACCAGAAATAATGTTGAATTGATATTTGATTGCTGGAACTGCATTCTTTCAGAATTTTATCCACAATAGCCATTCATTATAACAATATTACAAACTCACCCAAAAATTTAGAATCTTTCTCTTACTAATCTGAAGACATCTCTACAACACAAAGGCAAAAAAAAAAAAAAAAAAAAAAAAAAATCATGCCTGCAGGGAAAAATCCTTTCCCATTCCTAAGTCTGGCAACAGATCAGACCTATAACATCTTGAAAACACAGCATGCTTCCATTGTAGGGCTGGGAAGGCATTTCCCCATCTGTTCTTTTCACCTAGCTGTTTCATGCAAAACTTGAGCATTTTTACCTGTAACAATGCAGAAAATCTCCAAGACAAATTGAATGACATTATTATTATTATTATTATTATTCATAAGATTGGCCATGAATCTTTATCAGAATATTTGTCCTTGAGCTAGAGTTCAGCTGAAATCTTATCATAAATAAAAAAAAAAAAAAAAATGAACTGGGTATAGAATTATGTCTGAAGTCCTTCTCATTTTGATCATATCCACCCACAGTGCTCTTCTGAGGGTAGGTGCTGAGTGTAAGGCTTGGCCTTTTCAAAATTCAACCTTGATGTTATTTGTGAGTGGAGTAGAAATGTGAAAGGGGTATCAGTTCAACCTGTCCTGCTTCAGGGGTGAGGGGCACGAGGGTTACAGTGCCTGGTTGACAGCCAGCTGAATATGAGCCAGCCACATGCCCTGGTAGCCAAGAAGGCCAATGGCATCTTGGCTTGTATCAGAAATTGTGTGTCCAGCAGGACTAAGGAAGTGATGATCCGTCTGTACTTGGCACTGGTAAGACCACACCTCAAATACTGTGTTCAGTTTTGGGCCCCTCACTATAAGATGAATACTGAGTTGCTCAGGTGTGTGCAGAGAAGAGAATGAAGCTAGAGAAGGGATATATGAGGAGCAGCTGAGGGAACTGAGGCTGTTTGGCCTGGAGAACAGGAGGCTCAAGGGAGATCTCATTACTGTCTACAGCTACCTGAAAGAAGTTTGCACTGAGGAAGATGTTGGTCTCTTTTTCAAGTGGCAAGTGATTAGACACAAAGAAATGGCTTGAAGTTGCATCACAGGAGGTTTAGATTAGATATCAGGAAGAATGTATTCACAGAAAAGGTGGTTAGGTATTGGAACAGGCTGCCCAGAGAGGTGGTAGAGTCTCCTTCCCTGTAGGTATTTCAGAGATGTGTGGATGTGGTGCTTAGGTATGTGATTTAGCAGTGGACTTGTTAAGTGGATGGTTGGATTTGATCATCTTGAAGGTCTTTTCGAAACTAAATGCTTCCACGATTCTGAGGTGAGTAAGTCTTTAGACTGGTGGCTAACTCAGTTATTTCTGGTATGGAATGCAGTATGACTGGGCAAATCCACAACTGTACCTAAAGGAGGTGTACTTTCTAAAGGCAGCATCAGAGACTCCTCTTTCATCCTGTTCAGGTCCTTATGCTACTGCAATCATCCTAGTATATATTGGTCAAGATTTTCAGCTCTGTGTTGTATTCTAAGACTGATAAAACTGTGTTTTCTACATTGGCAATTTAATAGAGAGAACAGATTAAACCCCCACAAATACTTTATGGGTTATTTTCTCATAAAAGAGAATTGTCCAACAGAGCACATTTTCTAGAGAACAGATAAGATGCTGAATTCTAAGAAGGAATAAAATAATTTTAAAAGGGTAGAAATGGAGAGCTAATGTTGGAAGTTTAAGTTTCTGTACCTCGCTGACAGTTCAGATCGTTCTTTCTAAGCAGTGAGGAGGATAGGGTTGTCAGTGGGTAGAAATTATGGAATGGAAGAGAGGCAAACACAAAGCAACTAAAAGATCCATATGTACATGTGCATACCAGTTACTCTGCTATTAAGAATAAAATTTAAAGCCTTTTCTCTGGCAGACTTCCCACTGCAAGCGTTTAATTTCTCCTCCCACCTGCTTCTCCTCAGGAATAATGTAATGAACTGAGTAAGACATTTGCATTATTCATATTTGCTATTTAACTAAATTCTTGGGTACACGATTCAGAAAACTATCAGAAAGTAGCATTCTCTGTATTTCTAGCCTTCTATTAAAAAGTTTCCAGCTGGAGACATTTGTTTCACAGTCATATGCTATTTTCTGCATTTAGAGCCAGTTTTTTAATACATGAAATCTGTTTTATTCCCTGCAGCATGTCTCCTTACTTCATCCAATAATAATCTTTGAGGCAGAACCTTTCTTTTTAAAATTCTATGTATATGAAATTTGTTAAATATTCCTGTCTGCCATAACAGTAACAGCTTAAAAGAATCCCTAGGAAGTCACTTAAGTGAAACTTCCTTAATAAATTTAGATCAGCTATCTCTAGTTAAATTATGTTTTGCAAGGAGTTCCTCATGGAATCCTGCAAAATTATTTCCCTTTTCACCCCACAACTCATGTTAAGTTAATAGGTCTTTAATTGCTTGCTATAGCTCATGTCTCTTTTGTGAATAATGTTGCCAATTTCCTGTTCTCAGAAGTGAAACCAGTTCTCAATCTATGGTGTGGCTATATTAAGGTTAATATGGTCATTACAGCATAGCGGTAGGAATGCACGGCCAAGAGAGCAGCAACATTTCATGAAATTTATAAATACCGAATGCAAATGAAAGATAAACAAGTGAAAATTGGAATTGGTAAAATATTATTTGAACGTCAGCCACTGCAGCTCCATTTTTAAAGATATTAACTCAGATTTGTTGGAAGTGTTACTTGCTGGGGAGGGTCACACTCAGGCACTGCATATATAAGTTTGTGGGGCTTGTCATGTACACTGCCAGGGAAAATCAGGCTTGACAATTAATGGACATATGTAGAGGCTGATGACCTGCACCGTTTCTGTGAACATTACTGGCTGGTGACCTGCACCGTTTCTGTGAACATTACTGGCTGCTGCCCTGGCTGCAACTCAAGTTCAAGCAGCTACAGAAGCTTAAGAAAAGGCAAGCTGGGCCCATCTGCTGTTGGACCGAGGTGAAGCATCCTCAGCCCTTCCTGTCTCCTGTCCACCTACAGTACTGAACCACAAGATTGGCCAAACAGTAAGCAGCCTTTGGCTTTGCTCTGGAGGCTGGTCTGAATCCATACCTGATAGTGAACTTATCTGGAAACAACACAGATGGTATGCATGACAGTATAGGCCTGAAAATAGGTTTCACTCTTTGTGTAGCTGCCAATGCACATACATGCCCTGAGGGCTCCTCCAACTGTGGGGTCTGTTTGGGGTCTCCACCTCTTACACAGAAGTGCCATATAATTAGATTTTGTGGAAGAATGCCATGTGCATTGGCTAGAGGGGGGGTAGTTTTCAATTGCTCTGTCCATAAAATAGCAAAGCCATTAGAGTTGAGAAATTTTGCACATTATCTTACCATGTATTCCATTTCAACTGCATTTTGTGATTATCTAAATGACAAGATGTCTGATTAAAAAGACAACATTTTGGCCTTTTTCCTTTTAGTCCTGGAATCTTGAGTTTGGTGTTCCCATAAAAATTATTCTTAAAAGTGCTGATACAAACTGCTGTTGCATTCCTCTAGAAATTAAAATGCTAGTATCCAAGCTGAAAACAGAAATTCTAGAAAATATTCCTAATGTGCAAAAGATAAAGTTCCTTCTGAGATACTGCCAAAGTTCCTTCTGAGAAACTGACGTTGCTTTCAAAATTCTTTCAGGCTAGCACAAAAAGTGTGTTCCTTGATTTCAGCAGTTCAATAGATGTGGGGTTAAAAAAGTCCTTTGTTTACAGGAAGTGCATTAAACAGAGCAGAGAGAAGACAGGGCAATTCACTTCCATTGATCAAGTCTATAGGGAAAAGATGGCCCTGCCAAATTCAATTTACTTTATTATGCTGGGGGAAATAATGGTTCTCTTAAAAAAAGCCCAGATTCAATTATAAATAAAAGCAATTTTGTTCCTTTTTTTTTTTTTTTTTTTTTTTTTTGGCAGAAGGTCATGCATACAAGAAAAAGGCACATGGAATTGTTTCAAGAATTAAATCAGAAATTCCAGACACTGGACAGATTTCGGGATGTACCAAAATCAGGCAGCATGGTAAGTTTTCCTTCTTGGCTATTTAAAATATGTTGGATCCCTAACAATAACAATGAAATTGGAGTTCTTTGAATTCAGTGTTATTTCCTGAGACCTCATTTTGTGCTGCTTTTACATAGCCTCAGAAATGAGAACCAAAGACATTTTCAATAATCTAACCTATGATGGTATTCATCAGATTGTACAACTAGACAATAACTAAGTCACTGATATAATTGTAGATGACAATTAATTGAACTATAGGGAATACATTTAAAATATATATGTGTCTACTAAATCTAAAGGACTATATAGAGAAAGCATCTCACTAATAAAATTTAGCCAACAGGGCTTTTCCTCTAGCTAGGAAAACAGATATTAAATTAGTTACTGCAAATAAGTCCAACTAGATTTACCTATACATAAGAGGGTCCAGAAGGCACACAGGGTCTCTGTAATCTTCTGTCTTTTCCATAATAGGCTTATAAATATTTAGCATTGGAAAAGCAAAAATTAAATCATCTTGAATTGACACTGCTATAATCATAATTCAAATTTATAAACACACACTCTTACACACATAACGCCCTGACTACATCTGATAATGAGAGCAAGGAAATAGTTGATTCTGCATAATTAAAACAGCTAATTTAGTGTGACATATTTGTTAGCAGTAATATTATGATTAGTAATAATTTTCTATATAACTTTATAATCTGAAAATTGCATATTAATTGAAACTGAGCTAGAATCATATTATTATACAGCATTTTATGAAGAGTTGCTCTCAGACATGAAGATATTAAGTAGATGTGAGGTCAATGGGTTTACATCATTCTAAACAACAGAAGTTTGGCCTAGATTCTTTCAGGAATCTTTATCTGTGATTTATGTTATTTTGCACCCAATTCTCACCCACTCCCCCATTTGATATTTGCTGGAACATGAAGTTTGCATTCACCCCCTATTTGAAATCTGCTGTCCATGTAAGGCTTGAATTCATTCAAAATCTCAAAGGGGTTTTCTGTGGATGAGCTGCATTGACTGCTCATGTCAGTGCAAAGTTCTTGAAGTGTCTGCTAATAAAAGCTGCCTAGAGGAATGGTCTATCTGTAATGCAGTCGGAGAATGATCCAGGTACCTACATGTCAGCATCTCAGGCTATTTTACGCAGCCTCAGGTATATTAATCTACAGCAATCTATGCAGTGATGACATAGGACACACACCTCTCTGGCAAGATAGTGGGAGATCCAACAGGATATCCAAAGGCACCTAAAATGGTGTGAAAATGTTAGGTTTAGGCAACTAACAGCAGAAATCACTAATGAACTTGGTCTCACTCCATAACGACTTTTACCCTGTAAAACTTCACATTCCAAAAGAATTCAAGGACAGTAGAAAATAAGGCGCTTTCAGCTTGCTAATCCTAATATACCTGAGCTGTGAATCAAGGTGGCTATCACATTCTTGAGGAGCAGGATTCTTATGTTCTGTCATGTGTCTGCCCCAATTCTATTCTGAAATGGCAATCTCTGTTTCAAAACACTCCGTATTTTAGACAGCAAGACTCCTCTATTAACTTCACTTCTCTTTTTGCACTTTTCAACACAACCACAGCTACAATGCTGGCTGTTGTTACTGGATCATTTGGCCATTCCTCACTTAGATTGTTTCTTGCGAAAGACGGCTTAGCTGGCAGCTCAGGTGAGGAGCCTGCCAAAGAGTTGACTGCTCGCAGAGAAAGACAGTCACAATGGCGCTGAGCGCATGCCAGCCTAGCTCCCTGCAAAGCCATTCCCTCTCCCTGACTCCTGCATCTCATGAGAGCACATTAGTGATCAGCCTTATAAACAGAAAACACATTATTTCATCCTCATTTTTATTGTTCTTTCTTCTCTGCTCTTCAGGAGAACTCAGCGCAGAACAAGGCTCCATGGGACAGTTTCAAAACCACAGGCGAATATCAACACTATACAACGATAAACGTATTAGACACAGAGGCAAAAGATGCTTTAGAACTAAGACCAGCAGAATGGGAGAAATGTCTGAACTTGCCTTTAGATGTGCAAGAAGGTGATTTTCAAACAGAAGTTTAACAAAAAGAAAAACAAACTGAACAAGAGAAAAACAAACAAAAATAATTAATTGCACTGACAATAAAGAGACTTTGGGAATCCTGACGCTCCTGTCTGAACATTGTGACTACTTTATGTCAGGCTCTTCCTGTGCCAAATGTCAGTGTTTTTTTTCATACAGTTTATTCCCACTAGTATGGCTAGTGGAGAACCAGGTGTACAATTCTTACCATCGTGTGTTGTAAGTACCCGTGGAATGGATTTGTAAGGTAATCTTTATAGATAAACCTCAAGCAACGATTCATGTTGTAACAGCTTCATTTGGTTTAGTTTTCAAAAAACTTCACCATGAAGCACAATGTATATATTTATGCAGTTTTTAAAGTTTATAACAGTCTGTTTGGCCATTACTACACTTTTTACTTTATAATATAAAAGCAAAGTTTTTGTCATTAAATGAATGTCTGTTGAGCTACATTCTTCATTGCTTTAAATGCAATAAAGTAATAATCTCACTTTTATATGAATAATATATTTCACATCTTTATTATTGCAGTTTTCTCTGGAAAGCTCAGAGTAGCTTTCTCTGCTGCAGCTGTGTATAAAATATTTAAAATGTTGTATGGTGTAAATAAACCTTTGTCTACATATCAGTTTCCTAGTGCATTTTATTCTGTATATGTTGATCTTAAATTTGCATATTTATAAAGTTTTCTTTAATAACACGCATACTGAATATGTATGGAGTTTTCATAGTATATTGTTCTAACTCCTGCAAGAAGTTTCTCAAGTGTATTAGTAGGTTTGTATAGCCATTCTGCATTTTCTTAGGATAACTTTTGTGACAATGTACCATATAAATTGGACTTGTCAGAGTACTATCACAATTGTTCTATTTTATAACTATTTTCTCTTGTTGCAGAAAGACAACTAATGGAAAATAAGGACAGCACCCCAAGAAAATGTTGATTTAGAATCATTAAATTTTGTGCATGTTCTTGTTGCTGTATAACAACAAGACTTTAAAGATAAAAAAAAATTGAAGTATTTTTGACAAAAACGAATGGAGTCTGTTTCATATTAAAAATCAAGAGCACAGCATGAATTATGTTGCAAATACAAGTTAATTAGGAATAGAAAGAAAGACTAAATCCCCTTTTCCATGCTTAAAACTGAAAGCAAATCCTTGAAACCTCTCCTAATCTACAACATAGCTGGGGGAGGGAGATGGCATCTCAAACCTCTAGGTGCTAAATTTGTAGAAATTTTGTTTACCGAAAGTATTTTAGTTCGTGCTGTACTGAACTGAATGTGCCACAGCCTACTAGCTGGAGAGCTCTTCTGAGAGGAAGAAAGCATGCTCACTGGTCTGTTTAGCAAGGAGACTAAAATACAGACTTGTTAGAGAGAACTTTACCCAGAGCTTTGACAGATGGAGGTCATCATCCATCAGTTAAAAGGAACGCAGCAGATCATCTTTGGGAAAGCATTCTATTCACTGAACACTAAAAGAAAGGAGGTGTTTTCTCCAGGCCATAGTAAGGTGCTTAATTCATGAGAAGAAGCCTGACTTTGCCTATTCCATATGAGCATCTCAAGCAAAGTGCAGACTTAATCTAAGACTTCAACATCTAAATTTTTGCATGAATACAAAATAACTAGCCTCCAACCTAGTACCAAGTCCTCTACCTACCCAATTTATACGCCCATGGATTAGACATTGTAGTACTCAATTCTGCAATACATCAGTCAATCAGAATTGTCTGTCTATGAAGAAGCTGATGCAGCCTATGGGCACCATGCTGCTGAGAGATGATATTGCAACGAAAACAGTAACTGAGATAATTTATATAAGCTTTAGACCAGCAAACTCTTGTTCCAATAGCAGTCTAGTTACAGCAGCAGAAAGCTTAGGGTAGGTTGCAAACTTACCCAGGAAACATGACAAATCAGTCTATACTCAACACTCTGCTGACCCAATTGTGCTGTTATTAATAACCTAGCTGATTCAGGTTTAACATTAGCCTGAGTATTTATGCACCACACAGCAGTCACAGATGTGCTTTCAGCATATCAGCAGCAGTTCCGTGCCTCTTTATTCATTCTTTATTCAGATCTTAAGATGCAGTGCCCAGAAAGTCCTAGGGATTTTTATTTTCCTATATATTTATTATTCAGAAATATTAAGAACATGCTGAAACCCACTGTATTTACCTACTGATTTTATTGTTTCATATCAAAGCAGAGTTTGTCTTCCACAGGCAATCTGCCACATACTTATGGCTTGCTTCTCATTGTCTCTGGAATGGTGCAAGTCAGGCTGAGCCCAGCACAGAGAGTACAAACCTGTATGCACCAGCTACACAGCTGTAGCTATGTAGCTACGTAGCATAGTGTTGTTAGAGCACTGATGAGATATTTGGCATTATACTACATCCACATAAAAATGTAGAAAGTCAGAATTCCCTATATTACAGTGGATGCAGAGATGATGGGGGGCTCTGCATTTTCCTGCCAGGGTAGGCTGGTACCATTCACAGTGCCCAGTCCTATCCCAGCTGGCCTCTAGTTGCAGTTCCTGCAAGGTTCAGGGGTATGAAGGCTCAGCTACCCAATGTTACTGCAACTGGAACAAGACTATATCAAGGAAATTGAACTCAGCCTAGAGTTTACCTTGGTTCAATTTAAAATACATATTCCCTGGAAGTATGTAGAAAAAAATAAATAAATACTTTTTTTTTTTTTTTTGAGGAAAGGCCTCATTTTCTCAATAGTTTAAATACACTTTAGTAACCATGTAAGACAATATATAGTTCCTCTGTCTCTGTTCTCCTCCTACATATAAATTGGGAAGGATATTTTTCTGGCAAGTCAATGCTCAGCAAAATATGGACTTCTTCCCTGGAGTTTTTTAGTACAAGGAAGCAGCGCACACAGGAATTTCTAGCTGAGCAGCCATAGATCAGTCATAGTTCAAGATACCCACAACTTCAGAGCCAAGGCTGTGTAAAGGAGTTTTGTGTTGCTGGCATAAAAGTGCTAACAAAGTTATTTGCTACATGGATCCTTGCCAAAGTGATGTTATTTAACCCAGAATTTTCTGAGGAGATAAACTAGTCATTACTGAACTTCAGCTCATACTCTGCAACACCCGTTGGAGGGAAGAAGGAAAGAGAGACTAAATGCTGTGACAAGGGAGGAGAGGTAGAATAGCAGTGTTGCCATACACCTTTGGAGTGCTATGGGCTGAATATTGCTGTGATTTTAACAAATCCTTATGCTGAAGATTTAGAAAAAAGCTGTAAAAAAAGGCACAAACAGGCAAGGAGTGTTTCCATTACATTTACTACTGGGTCTGAATTTCTTTATAGTCAGTGAAACAGCGCGCTTCTCTGAGAAATGGGACGTTGACACTCCTCCTATAAGAGCATAAGCCATAAAACACCTTACAATGTCTTACACTGCATTCAGCTGGGGTAGTTTCTTTAAAAAAACAAACAAGCAAACAGAAAACCCCAAACCCTCAGCTGTGAAGGTAAAATGTGCTCTGATATTTTGGCTTGTCTCCATTTCCCATAGTTGCTAAGCAATGCTGTACTTAGGGACCAGATTTAACAAAAGGTCTACTTCCCGCGTGTAAGCAGGCATCCATCTGTCACAGCATCAGCAGTGTGCTTTCCATTGGGTTATGCAAAAGTATATAGAAATCTCTTGTTAACAATCAGCAGATGGAGACACTGTGTATAGATAGGAGACTTTCAGTTCTTCGGGCACTAGCTCAAAGCTATACTTTCTCTCTGATTCCGGATAAGACATAAGAACCAGTTTGCGTGGCAAATGTTAGCTTTCTCTCTCCAAAAGCATTATACAGCTCTCATGTGTGGTTAAGCACACTCATGTGCTGTTAGTAAACAGAGCAATATTCAGTTGAATATGTGTTTGAGGAGCTGTGCCTGGTGTCAAAGTGCAGATGGTGCAAAGAGGATTTGTTTCAAGACAGGTCTTATCCAGTGCAATGTTGTACATCTTTCTTTGCAAGGAAAACAACAGAGGCCTCATTAAGAATCAGCAAAAATCAACTGCTGAGAAAACAGGCATGACTACTAACCCTAGCATTCACACTGAAATATTCTGTCTGTTAATTACAATTGCAATATAAAGAAAGAGACATTTATCTGGTTTGGACAAAGCTGTCTCTTGGATGCATTGGATCATCCAGTGGCAATGAGAAACTCAGACTAAGTATGTGCTACTGTAGTACTTATCTTGATCATTCTGAACTCATTTACACCTCATTGTTTCTGATAAGGAAGAGTTAATAGCTTTTACCAATTCAACTTCCTCCCTTTACTATATAGACTTCTGCTACAGGCCCCACAAGTTACCTCTTTTTCAGGATTATGACCCCTAGTTCAGTCAGTACTCTCATGGAGCTTCTCACTGATTTCTATCATCTTAGTCTCCTTTTCCAGGTGTGCTGAAGTTCTTAAATAATTCTCAGTAAATCCTGAGCTCATTCAAGTATCCTGTTTGATCCCTGCTGAAAAAGGAAAAACTCAGACAGAAAGATTCTAAGTTGTCTTTTCATTCAATAGGAAAATAAATAAATAAATACACAAAAATAAATAAAATATTAAAATAAATAAAGACAGAAATACCTGAATTTTATTTTATTTTATTTTATTTTATCTTTTTTTAATCTAGCTACTGTTTAATGGAAAATGCATGACCATTTCTTTCAGCAAGAAATGGGCATCAGGCAGCTTCTCCTAAGTAATCCTCCTAACCTATGGATTTTAGAAGCTTATTTTCTGCTGCTGCTTCTCTCTGGTCCTGTGAATGTAGAGCCTTTGTTTCTTAAGTAGTGCTGCTTCAGCAAGACTCACAGAGTTACCTACAGCCTGCTGGCTGAGTTTTACAGTCAGAAAGTGAAGAATAACTATGTGAATCCTTGCAGATGGCATTGTAATTGTTTCATATGTTCTGAAAAAGTGCTGAATTCTGAGCTTTTTCACAGTTTTTGTATCACCCCTTCCTCCAGCTGTGTGTTCAAAGAGTGATGTCCTTTCAGTTGCTGACTCTCTTTTTCAAAACTTACAATGGTCTCTTCAGACACAAAAAGGGTTAGGAACTGTTCATGACTGTTCATCTCTGTGGCTGAGAGTTGAACAGCTACACCTCAAGAGATCTGGAATTTAAGAAATGGATCTCAGAGATGCCTACTTCTTTGCATGCATTTTATACGAAGACAATGTGTCTTCTTCGAGCTTAGGAAACAAGCACATAAATCTTATGTGATGTAATGCTGACCATCTAAGAAGTCTGTGTCCCTTTGTGGATCAAACCTTTAGGAGTTTAAATAGCTCCCAAAATCTGTTTCTCTGGATCCAGTTTGAAAAACAGCTACAAGATAGTATTTTTTCCCATCATTAATTCAATGATTTATCACAATATGTTCCTGGGCTGTTAACTCAGGAAACTGCAAAAGGTGATGCCTAAAGGACCTCGTGGTATAAAAAAAGAAATTAGAAATGATTAGTATGTTCAATTTCTTATTTGGTGTCTTCTTGGACCTAACTACTTTATTTCCTGCTCTTCTCAAGAACAACGTTTTAGGAAAAATATTTTTAGAGCTCTGTTTTTAGTAATTAGGTTT